GATAGAATGTTTCATGTATGTAATCGTTCTTATTTATTATATAGACTTTTCAATTCTTTTTTAAGAAAAAAAGAAGTCCGGAAAAAATGCTTATGAAAGGGTCATGAAGAAGAGAGCAAAAAATTCTGATTACCTCATATATTGCTACTTAAAAAAAAGTTATTTTTCTATTTATATGATTAGGTGATACACATTCAGCAACACCAAATCTGATAATTTAGCTCAAAGCGCTCATATTTCTTCGCATAATATTTTATATATAAACTCTATTCCCCCGGTTTAGATCTCTAAACCGTTTTAATGAAATTGGTGTTGAAACAAAAAAAAAGATTAGGTGATAATACGTGAGATTCGGTATGAAAAACCTATACGTTTCTATATAGACAGAGACTACAAAAATAGCGTTTGACAAGAGATGTTGGTTCTCTTTGTTGTTCAAGAAACCATATTGTCTTAATTAAGTTAAAAAGGTGATGTAGTTTCTTACGGAACGAATGATATATAGTAAAAGTTTGCTCAACTCTGATATGAAAAAATCTATGTTTTTACAAATTTCGAGATTGAAAGATTTTGTTAGGACATGGTTTTGGCCATGAGTTAGTCTAGAGAAGAGATGTAGAGAGGAGCAACAACGCAATGGTTGAAAATGGGATTGTAACAGAAGCACAAAACATATTGTAAAAATGATGGCTAATGTATGATTACTTTTTCTCAAGACTGTTAAAGAGAAGACAATGCTTAGGTATGAAATTGTGCAAGAATTAAACCGAAATGGAAGAAAGCTAGTGCTAAAGTGGTAATATGAAACAAATCCTAGTGGCTCAGGTTTGTTTAGCTTCTAAACTCGTTACTCTGTCTTCATCTAAAGGGAAAGTGTCAACGGAAGAGCTGAACCTAATCACTAATCACCGACATTTGACAAATCGAAACACTGAAACTTGAGAAGCAAGAAATAAATAAATAGAAAGCTTTAGTACTGATTTTTATAAATACGAGAATCAAGAATAGTTACAGTGGAATAAGAAACCCTAGTTATCATATGGACGAAAAGCTAGCTTTTCAATCTCTAGGGTGC